GCGCAGGAGAAATTAAGCAAGAGAGGATTCCTGGACAGCTGGAGGGGGAAACCTGAAATTAACTTGAAAAATCCAATGGAATCCGCCTGACAAGTTTGGTTGAGAGACTCCTGCTCCTTATCTGGGGGTGAACCCCTGACCTCCGACCCTGAACCTTTGTCAGGATTCATGCACAGATTCCACATTCAAAAGCGTCACACACGAGTGGCAATACTTCATGAAAAAATAAAGCTACTCCCTTGCCAAGGTATTGTTCTCTGAAGATTTTATGAGATGGAAAATAGCCTCTGATATGAAACCTTTCTGAAACTACCGTAGTTCAATTCAGGCTTTTAGGTGTCCGTGACAATTGTTTTGTTTTGGCCTGTCCTTGTCCATAATAAAAATGCGGACACTAAATTTGTAAGCTTTTTCTTTTGCATCAGGGCTGCGGCTTTGTGAAATTTACTAGGTAATAGCTCCCAATGTGTTTTACCATTTTCTACAGTATATGTAAACCTTCCAAACCCGCAAAAAAAGAAAAATAACTTATTATTTAACATAAGCTTTTCTAGCACTCTGTACAGTAGATAGCTGGAAGTGGTTATTTAATAAGAACTACCTTGGTATGTGTGCTATGAAACAAGCAATTCATCTCTAGGACCATAAAGCTATGAAACAGCTAACAGGTTGTGTTTTTCAAGTTGCACTGAGATCACTTTCAACCCCTCAGTGCCTGGAAGCAAGCACCCCGAGGGAGGGAAAATAAACTCCAACATGTTTACTGTTGTGCAGCAAAGTGGCATTCGCAGACAGAAAAGCAGATTGATTCAAAGGAAGTTAGACATTTCCTTAATACCTGGCCCTGTCAGGAGTGATTAATAAAAGAGGAAACGTTTTTTGAAGCAGGCATTGACTCCAGAAGATGCACAGACACAGCAACACCTTTGGAAGGGTGAAAGCAAGCACAAAAAAAAAAACTGGGTCAAATCTCAGGCCAGCTCACAAAGAGGGCCTCTCTAATTCCTCATGGTTCACATAACCTGGGGTGAAGAGCACAGTTTCAGGAGGACACAGTAGCGTTTATTGGCACTTTGTTTTCGCGCTTGCTCGTCCCACAAGCAAACTTAGATTTTCCCCTCATCAGTCACAGAAATTAGAAGGGGTGTGGGTGCCTGAGAGGGAGGGGGGAGGGAATTGGAGAGGGGGGTTAGTGAAAAAGTGGCAGTCCCAGCTATGTCTAGATAAACATTCCAGCAGTAACTGCGACCGCAAAGGCCAAAAGCACACTTCATAAATTGGCAGCTCTGCCAGGTCTAGCACAGATGTAGCCTTTCATCAGATCACTATCTTTCCAACAATGGGGGTTGCTGGGCTGCACACGCCAAGCAGAGCTTGGCTGGGGGAGCCCCGCAAAGACTCATTTTCATCTGGCCCATCAGTGAATAAGTGTGATTGAATAATGCCAATATTCATCAAGCAGACGAAACCCCCGCCCCCCTCCCCCTGCCATCCGCTCTGTTTGACTAGGAGTCAGTGCTCAGCGGTAAATGCCAGGATAAACCCCTCTAATGTGTGTTTTTCTTTCATCGGGCACAGATGAAAATGGAATATTTTACAGGCTGACCCATTTTTTTTCTGTGAAAATATTTTCTTTTCCTAGTGAATTTCTAAATTGGACACATTGTGAGCACAATAGTGAGGCTCTGCTTTAGCATTTGGAGTTGTGGATTACAGTAATTAGACAACAGAAACAGGGCACAGCTCCTGGGTTCACCTCACTGAGACCCCAGACCGCGCCCAGCTTTCACCTTAATTCCTGGCCACTCACAAGCACAAGATTCCCACACTGAGCGAATCAAAGGCCTCTCCCTGTCTCTCTACCAGACCAGGAAAAAAATGGAAGGCAAACAAGGCAGCACTCAAAGACTTATTTCTTGTTTTATTATTTTTTAAATGGCTCGCGTGCCATTTGAAATAGACCCATTGCCTGCTCGCGCAGCACAAATGGGAATTCCGGGAAAAAAAACAAATGAGTCACTTAGTAACAGACTTTACTAATGTGTCCTGCTTTAAATAGTTGGGTAGGAAATATCCCAATGACCTAATTACAACTTTGCCATTCTAAGAATGTCAACCCAGACAGACACTGTGGTATTCCAGAAAAAGACTACAAAAGAGATAGCTACGACAAAACCTTATTAAGTTTTTTCTTTCTTCATTCTTTAAAAAAAAACAAGCTTGCTCCCAAATTAGCAAAACCAATTTAAGTGATCCTTACCCTTACCACTGTGAACCACATGCTATCCTGCGTGAGCTGTGGCAGTGCCAAACAATTTCTACCGTACAGTCCTCTTGTATACCCCCAAACGTGCACATGCCGAGGTTTGGGAACAGCAACAATTTAAACAGTTTATTCTGTCTTATTTCATTAATTCATTCAGTGTACTTCATATATAACTATAGAATAGAATTGCAGAGATACTGCAGATACTTCAGTTACTTTACTAGAACACCTTGAAATTATGTGCTGAAATAACTGAAAGCTCAGTAAATTTACAAAAGCTATCATTGAAAAATGTGTTGGTTTTGCAAACTATATTTGGTACACTTAATAAATTAGTGAACAGTCTTGCTTCAGACACAGGGCGCCAAAATGCAGTTGTGAAAGATATGTAATTGCACGATTCTTGGAGGCTTACAATATCCTTTTTTTAATGCAGAGTGATTAAGTGGTATGCTTTCTATTTAAAAAAGTCAATGTTAATGGTTTTGAAACACATGAAGCAATTAAAGGAAAATGAAGGGAAATTGGTCGAACGGTTGGAACATTTCACATTCCAGCTTACTATTAAAACTAACTACTGTGTGGGTTGCCACCTATCCATGAAAATCATTTTATTTGAGGTTTTCTGCTGCATTATGCGAACCAGCCCAGGGGAAGTAATTGGCTAGGGATGCTGTAGGTTACCGAGTTTTGTTGGACAACAAAACAAAAAAGGAAGTTGCATGCGGGTCAGGTCATATGCAGTGTGCTTAAACATGAGACCCTTAAAGATGAAGACAGGCAGAAGAAGGTTTCATATCCTGAGCAATGATATCGAGGACACTGAATCTCTCAAACTGACTTGCAGATGCAGGGTCGACAAGGCAGTGAAGTAACAGCCGACTTTGATAAGCAACAGATGCAAAGCTGCCATGCATTAAGTCATTCTTCACAACTTCTGTCCAAAATGCCGTCTTTATTAAAAAGTATTTATTCCTCCTTACTTAGCCTCTAGGCCACATTTATGATTTATTCTCATTTGGACCTACCTTCCTAAATAAAGCAGAAATGTAATACAGTATCTCATCCAAAATGTGAGTGTGCCGGGAAACTGAAAGACTCAAAATCACTGTGCTCTGTGACTGGAATAAGCAAACCATGCAGTCAGCTTTGAGATTTTTGGTAAGGATAGGTGCAGAGAAAGCAGAGCTCTCAAGGAGTTTTAATTTCTAAACTGTTACAACGATGGCACCCATGACCGTAAATTTTAGGTGTTTCAACCATAAAGCGAAAATGAATTGCAAAGCACATTTGTTTCACTGCTGTTATACATAGCTTTATTTTGTCCAGTTCTTGAATCAATAATTGGAAAAAAAAGGTTTGATGAAGTCCCACTAGGATGATCCATGTGTGAAGTGTTTTAATGAAATATGCTATCATATTTATATAGCAAAGACTTCAATATGCTGTACTGAGTTTCAGTAGTTCCAGGAATGAGGGTTTGTTGTTTATATTGTTAACCATTGCTTGGCGTGCTGCGATCCAGGCAGCACAAGTGCTTGAAAAGGATCACTGTGCTGCGCACCGTATCGCGTTACAGAGGCTTCCTGCCAGCGAAGACTTTCACAAGCCGCCTTGTGTGTGTGAAAAAAATTCTGAATTAAACACAAACTCCAGCCGGGAGCACAAGCCTTGATTCATCTTCTTCTTTTT